AGGTAGCATGTCAAGCTCCATCTTTCCAAACAGCGAAACAAGGGGCTGGTGGTCCGTCTCCACGTCGAAGTTTATACCACGAACGAACTCGTCGAACCGCTGGATGGCCCACGCCGTCGCCAATGCCTCCTTTTCCGTTTGACTGTATCTTTGCTCGGTGTCTGTCATTGACCGCGAGGCGAAGGCGACCGCTCGACGTTCTCCCGACGGCTGAGTCTGCAGCAAGACGGCACCGAGTCCAAAAGAGCTTGCGTCTGCAGAAACCGTCGTGGCATACGCCGGGTGGTACTTGGCCATGCACCGGTCTGAAGTGAGCAGCTCCTTGATCTTTGCGAAGGCTGCTTCTTGTTCATGCTGCCAAGTCCAGCTTGTAGTTTTGTTCAAGAGGACTCGAATTGGGGCAGTGACGTCAGAGATGTGAGGCAGGAATCTTGCTAGGTGGTTTACCATCCCAAGGAGGCGTCTGACGCCAGCGATGTCACTCGGTGGATCCATGGTCCGGATGGCTTCCACTTTGCTGGGATCCGGCCTGATGCCTTCTGCCGAAACAATAACTCCCAGGAAGGAGACCTCGGAGACTCCAAACCGGCACTTGTCTTTGTTCAACGTAATGCCAGCTCCGGCTAGCCGCGACAACACCTGCTTGAGCCGAGCGTCGTGTTCCTCCTGGTTACGTCCAAAAACGAGAATATCGTCGATCATATTGGCGACGCCTTCTTGACCTTCAAGGATTCTGGCCATTTGTTTCTGAAAGTACTCCGGCGCCGAGGTGATGCCGAAGGGGAGTCTACAGAAGCAATAACGGCCGAAAGGAGTGATGAAGGTCGTGAGCTCCTGCGAGCCGGCTGCCAGCCTGACCTGATGGAAGCTTGCTGTGGCGTCCAACTTCGAGAAGATGGCCGCGTCGCCCAGGAGACCAAGGACCTGCTCGACTGTCGGCAGGATATGGCGCTCTCTGAGCACCACTTCGTTGAGCCGTGTCAGGTCGACGCAGAGTCGATACGCTCCGGTAGGCTTTGGGACGACGACGAGTCCGGAGCACCATGGGGTTGGTTTGTCGACACGACGAATCACTCCGTCGCTCTCCAACTTATCTAACTCGTGCCTGACGACCTCTCGCAGCGGGATAGGAATCCGACGAGGTGCGCTGGCACGGCGTCTGGCTTCAGGCGAATGGTGTACTCGTCCTTGAGTGTGCCCAGTCCGCGAAACAATTCGGCATGTAGTGTTGTCTCGGGAGCATCCACAGCACCTAGGAATTGTACAACCTTGAGAGCCTCAATCGCCGGAAGACCCAGAAGAGGTACGGAAAGGGAGTCGATCACATAGAGCCGCTGATAGCTCGCCTTCCGTTGCCACTGCAGTCGTGCCAGATACGACCCCAACACACGCAGCGGTTGACCTCCGGGTCCTGTCAGCAGGCTTTCAACCTTGTCAAGCTTGGCCGGCACGTTGGGAAAGTCACTCGGTACGGCAGACACTTCCGCTCCAGAGTCCACCTTGAATTCCGCGGTGTAGTTATTCACGGTGACGTCCACGTACCTAGATTTGGCGGATGTTCCCACAGCGTGCAGCTGGATAGAGCCGAGCTTGCCTTGCTTGACTTTCTTTGCACGGCACACCTCAGCGAAGTGTCCCTTCTTTCTGCAGTAGTAGCAGAGCGAGTCCCGTGCTGGGCAGTCTGAACGCGCATGAGGCGCGCGACCGCAAAACGAACAGGCCGATGACTCACGGGGATGCCCTGCTCTGGCTTGGGCTCCGCTTGTTAGTTTGCTTGAGGGGACCGCCAAGCACTGGTACGAGAACCATGAGTCCTCTTTGACGTCGTGGGACATTTTCAAGACCGATCTGAGGGCTACATTCATCAACGACCACCGCCGAGAGAGAGCCGAGGACCTGCTGCGAACCAGAACCCAGGGCCCCAACGAGAGCGTCACCGACTTCGTAGAGGACGTTTTCGCCTGAGAGCCCGCGCCAACCCTCGGGCTACAGAAGAGGAGAAGCTACGGATCCTTATGCGCGGGGTGAGAGACGACATCTTCGGAGACCGCGTCCGCAACCCGCCGGCAACCGTCGACGCCTCCGTCACTAAGGCAACAAACATCGAGCGCGCCCTCCAAGCGCGCGGTTCCCACTACCAGTGGCATCCAAGCGCCACTGCAACCGCTCTGGTTAGCGGTGATAAGCGCGGTTGAAGTTTCCAAAACTATCCAACATTACGCATAGCAACTTGATAGATCCAAAGTAAGATTTCGCATAACGCGAGTAAGGTTTGTAAACAAGTGTTTGTAGCAGACGACACGGAAGACTGTCCTTTCGTCGCGTCGTTACTGGCGAGATGTCAGGGCTTCCCTTTCTTCTCACTCCGCGCTGCGCGGCCGATTATTATTTCCCAGTCTCGGGTTTATCATTGGGGAGTTAGTTCTCCAGCGTGGTCTGCGTTTTTTACCACCAACTTCTGGCTGTTGAAGCTTCTGTTTATTGCCACACTTTAAGGGGTACTCCACCGATTTTTTGAGCTACCTCAACTAACTATATTTTCTGACTCCCCGGCCTTTACTCTCTCCGGTATGCTATTTAGAATCGCGAAATTCATAATAGTTATTGCGAAATCGGCAAATGAAAATGATGCAAAAACCAACATTCAAATATACGCGCGCTTTTCAGGGCCGTGACGTCAGTGGCAGGCAGGCTTGCCAGTCGAGCAAGCAGCCAAAAAATAGAATATGCCAATCATTTGTTCCGTGCTGGAGCGCGGGTACTGCAGCGAGCTTCCCAAGCATTCATTTGACACTATGAAACTGCTTCGAATCAGTTTAAAACAAAATCTACAGTCCAAAGAGTGAACCCCTGCCTTCCACTGACGTCACTTTTTCATTGTTGCCAGTAGAGACTTAGAGCTTGAAAAACACGGTGAGGACCAAAACTGTAAATTCAATAACTTCGCGAAAAAACAATATTCTGACCTAATATTTGGGATACTATTTTCGCGATGTTTGTTGGTTAGTTTAGCAAAATTTCAAGCAAATCAGAGACAATGAAAAAATCGGTGGAGTAGCCCTTTAAGAGCGACCTGCATCAGGACAGGCGTCTGCCACACCATCAGCGCTGTTGTGACGCCGCCAGGATCGCGGCCGGCGACAGCATGGCACTTTCATGACGTCATCGGGAGGAAATTCAGAGACCAACCTTTTAAAATGCGCTGAACACGTCAATCGAAGACGGTTTCCAGGCACCATAGTGCGTGCTACTGCTTTAGTCATGGTAGTGCGTTCAAAGGGCCATTTCGTTTTTCTTCGGGCGGAAGGAAAAACACTTGGCCTCCTAAGTTAACTTGAGTTTGATTCTTTCGCGGACGAGAAACAATAAGATCTTGCAGAAATACAGATTTGTTCCTTCGCAGTGACACTTCCGAAAATACCAGTAATGGAGGGTTCTCATACTTTCCCGAAACAATTTCGCACCTTTGCTTTTTTTCCACGAAGAACAAAGAAACAACCAAAGTTCTAAATAAGATTATAAGAATGCCATTAGGAGGAAGGCAGTAAAGAAACTATTGAACACGCAGAGAGACTTGTTTCGCTTTAAAATTGTATACAGCCCAAGACACAGATACAAATGCGAACTGGTTGAAGATACGCGAACGATTTATAATTATAGTGGATTAGAAATAGTTTTTGGAATTCGTTGCACGTATAATGCTGAAACAAGGCCGTCCTTCGGCAAGGTCATATTTCTGCCGGCGTCTGCTTGGAGACGAACATCCGTAATAAAGCCCTACGCGTGTCGCTAACGTCACGATGCAGCGGCGGCGCTGCTGACGGTGTGTATATGGCGCACGCGCAATACGCTTTACGTTCTTTCAATTCAAATCCTGCGTCCGCACCTGACGTGGTCAAAACTACGCTTGTTTGAAAACAGCGCGTGACTGAGCATGGGAGGAATGAGAATTATTTGACAGTTTTAGTGGATCGTACGCTATAGCTTTGCGTACGCAAGGAGATTGCGGGTCGTGAGTGCGCATGCACAGAACGCAATAAAAGGGCTAGCGTATTGCGTACGCACGCAACGCTGGAGAGTTTGCGTTGCTGGCTAGCGGGCCTCGTGGTACGCTCTCGAGAGATCTCGGACCCAACGAGACCGCCAGTTTCAAGATGGCGGTAGCCTCGACTGGCGCAGCAAGGGCGACGTGGTGTTTTCGAAGTTCTGTGTTTCGTTAAATTGCGTGGTGTTCAGCTCGGCGATTCTTTCTGGTACCTACCGCGGTCGAATCAGACTGCCGTGCAGCTGAAGGAGTGCACAGTGAAAATGCTTTCCGCTCGGAATGTGCGTCGACGCTGCGATCTGCTCAAAGCTAAGCCTATTCCCACAGTTCATCGCCGACGGACGAACGACTCTAAAAGAAATCGCCGAAGTCCTCGCTATGCACTGGACATCAGGGTCATGAATTTCATTCCGCGATAGCATTGATAAAAGGTGCCGTTTCCACGGGACGAGTGACGGAGGCTCCGTGATCGAATTTGGCTACGCACTCGTACTCGTAGCCTCTGTGCCCCGCAGAAAAGCGCGCTTGACGAGGCAGCTGTGGCTTGGTTTAATCTGAAATAAAATGACTGGACATTTTTTCTTTTTCAATATTTCTTTCCAGGAGCATGGTTGCGCTATAAGCACGCGGAATTCTACGGCTCTAGCAAATTTAACTAAGATCATGCGCGGTGCTCACTCGAAAACGTAACGCACCACTAAATTCGGTCCGAGCAGGTTATTTTTAGCGTACGTTATACTATTGCGTATTGCGTACGTAAGATGCAGCAACGCTATACTAAAACTGTCTATTGTTGATTCGCACTGTGCGATATTCTTGCGGACGCGCAGCTGCGACGTCGCTTATGCGGAGAAGAAAGCGTGGTGCTCACACTGGGAATCCTAAAAGTCGGAACTGCAAACTCCCGAGTGAAATCACACTATGTAAATCAGGCCCTAGCACCATAACGACATACCTCTTTAACCTTCTCATTCTTGTTCAGTGAAGTTGTTTCTTCGCTACATTGGGATGCTTCAGCGTTGATGACAAGGACGAAGGTCAGAAAGAAGGCCCATGTCAGAAGCAATACTCGGCGCTGCAGCTCCATTTTCTTTTACACGGCAGGCAATCTGCGAGCACAACCGCTGAGTGCTCGTTTTTATACTTTGAGTGTGACCCACGTGACTATGCAAATACAGATTCGTTTCGAGGATGTTTGTATTTTCGCAACTCGCCATGTTTGTTGCTTTTATCTTTGCGCTTTTGTTTCTATTCTACACGCCGCGCATACACCTGTTTACTCAGAAATTGCAACACCACCTTTCTTTTAGTCTTTCCGGGTAAACAATGTTCTTCTATTCAATTTGTTTGTGCAACACGAACAATTGAAACATTTCCCTCGAATCGTATGTGCCCGCCACCGCGGGAGGGAGGCCTGAAGGCTGTGACGAACATGGAACGAAGTTTATTGTTTCCTGCATTTGAGTACGTGTAACCGAACCGGCATGAGAATACTCGCGACAACGCTGGAACTATACTCCGTTTTGTTTTAAAGGGATACGGAATCGAAACTTGAAATATAGAGAAAACATCAAGAAATGAGTTCAATATGATCAGCTAAGCCTGTAATGAATAATCTCACGGTCGTATTTTGAGCAGATGGCTATATTTTATGCTCTAAATGCCGCGATTTTGGCGAGCGCTTCAAAATCAGCCATGGAGGAGCGCGATGCATCTCGGGAGATCCGGCAGACTTCTTGACGTCATCATGCCTCGGACGACCAAGCGTACCGTAGTGACGAGTTTTGCCACTTGGAGGCGTCAACGCGTTACAGTCTCGCTTTGTCGAAGTACCCAAGGGCTGTAGATATCGCGGGGCCAGCACGCGCACCAAACCTGAGAACAACCGAAGCACGCGTTTGCACGTCGCGCGAGAGCTGAAACCAAGGTGGCTCACTTCGTTTTGGCTCTTTCCACCAAGATGCCTCGGTATTGCGTTCAGGCCTAGGCAATCTATACCAGTAAGCGGACATACCGCTGCGGCGCTGCTTTCAGAGGCATGTTGTCGTCACGACATTCCATTGAAGCTTCATAACCAACGAGGTGGTTTTTGATTATCGTTTAATTCACTTTAAAATATGTTTTCTTGCGTTTTCTAGCGCAATATTTATGTTTCTGTGGTTGTGCTGCTACCTGCGTCGTGTTGAAACAAAGAAATGAGCTCCAGAATTTGGTTTCCGTACCCCTTTAAGCCCAAGCGAGGTAAAAGTTACAAGGACGAGCATGTGACCCTGAACACTGCTTGCACAGCACAAGCGCGCGTGCATGGCAGGACGCTGAAAGTCCGCAGCTCGCTCTTGTCACTTCTGCCACGATAACAGTTAATGTGAAACGGAGTATATTCCTCTTTCAGACGGGCGCCTAAAAGCGCCTTTACGCCAAAGGCCTTAAGGATTTTCGAATTACCTTTAAAGGTCTGCAGTGCCAGAGAGCGCGAGTAAATCTAATTTAGACGACAGTTACAGCGATTGAAGTCTTGTAGCTCTTTCGCACGCATAAAGCACGTTCACGCAAGAAAAATATCATGGCGATATAAAGAATTTTTTTTAGGTATTTTCTTAAGCAAACAAACATTAAAAAAAGAAGACAAAATGACAAGTTCAGTCGACTGACTAGAATTAAGCCCACCTTAAGCCCAAAGAAAGTGTTGTTCTTTTTTTTTTTTGGCAATTAGCGGCAATCCTGAACGTCTTGCTCAGTGCGCGCGCTCCCTGCACTCTAAGAAAAAAAGGAGAAGAAAGCTAGCAACAGCGACTGTTCCTCCCTGCTGTAAACAAGTTGCCCAGAAAGGGGAGGAACGGAAGTTTAGATGAAAGGAGGAGGTCCAGTTCCTCCTTGTTCAGTTAGCGGAGGAGAAAGAAGAAGACGCCGCTGAGAACGGTCGTGTTTTCGATGTTCTCCAAGGAAAATATACCGGCCACCGGCCGGGGAACCGCTGAGGCTTCGGCCAGTACTACTGAGATGTTGACCAATGAATACCGGACCGTGCTACCTCGTCTACCCACAGGTAACTTGAGCCTGAACTCCGTCTTTCTTCATGGCGATCTCGCCGCACGACCCTACCGAGCCCCAGACTTCCGTGACGCCTTACGAGATGTTGTCGACGCCCAAGATATCATCGGAATAGGCCAATTTCAGATGAGCCATGTCTGGATGGTAACGTGCGCAAACGCCTTAAGTAAAACCAAGCTTGTAAACAAAATGGAGCTTACCGTAAAGGGACGCAGATGCCTCATAATTGATCCCGACACCAGAGATGTGAAACTGAAACTTCTCTGGTTACCTGTACACATGGAAAACCAGAGAATCGAAGAGGCACTGGCGCCTTTTGGCACGGTCCGTTCCATTGTACGAGAAAAATGGAAGTGCTCTGGAATGGAGCAAATGGAAACGCTCAACAAAGAGGTGACCCTGACTCTTAGAGAAGGAATGAATGCAACGAATATTCCGCATCAGCTCACGGTCTTCGGCTGTCGAAGCCTGGTGCTCGTCCCTGGTCGGCCACCGCTGTGTCTTCGGTGTAACAGAATTGGTCACATCCGTCGTGAGTGCAGAGTCCCGAGATGCGGCGAGTGTCGACGCTACGGACACGACGCGAGTGAGTGCGTCACCACCTACGCAGACAAGCTGAGGCAGTCGAGAAGCCTAACAGACGATGTTGTCCACGATCATCTTATGGACATCAGCGAAGTCGTTGATGCCACCGGGGACATCGCCTCTTCCCTTCTCAAGACACAAAGGACCGAGTCGGAAACGTCTACACAGCGACCAGAAGAACTTCGTCCTGATTCCGAGTCTGCCAGTACCCTGCCAGGACTGTCAACACCAGCCGAGTGTGTCACGGAAACGAAGAGAGATTGGTCGGATAGCGAGTTTCCATCCCTTAACGCACCACCTGAGTTACCGTTCCAGCAAGCAATTGCCCGACGCGAACGCGCCGCGACGTCCACTGGCACATCGGTGAAACGACCTGCTCCTACGACGACAAGTAATGCGCAGCCCTCCGCCTCAGGTATTATTGCCGAGAGCAAGAACGACGAGGGAAGTGAGGTGAAACGCAAGCCATCTGCGGTGCGAGAGTTCCTCTGCAACAAGACGTCGCAATCGGAAGCTCTGGACGTGAGGAACGATGACGATGTGCTCCCACCCTAACTAAAAACCTTCCTGACATCTCCCCTCAGCTTCGCTACCATTAACGTGAGAGGACTGTGTTCATGTGCACGGCAATCTCAATTGTACAAGCTCCAGTTAAAGGAACATCTTGACTTTGTTGCTGTTCAAGAGACAAAGATATCGTCTGACGAGGATACTGCTCGTGCACTGGACCCCTTCCTCTCACATTACGAGGTATGCGTCAGTCATGCTGATGGCTTGTCGGGAGGGTGTTTTTTGTTTTTGAACCAGAACTTAGGGTATTCATCACTTTCTCACACTGTCGACGATAAGGGAAGGTTCATATGTTGCGATTTTCTTTTATACGGTACCTACTGGCGATTAATTTGCATATATGCCTATAATGACGTTAGACAGCGTCGTTCTTTTTTTGAAAGCCTGACCCCATTTCTCAGCACCGACAAACATATTGTTTTATTTGGTGATTTCAACTGTGTGTGTAGCATAAAAGACAGGTCAGTGCCTTCTGCAAGGCCCGATAGAAGTTCCGACATACTAAACACTCTTGCATTCGACTATCACCTTTTTGACGTGGGAGCTTCCCAAAATACTACTCTCCGATTCCTCACCTTCATGCTTCAAGTGATGCGAGACTCGATCGTATTTACGTCTCAAGCTCGCTTATTTCACACGTGACTGCTTATGACGTAAAACCAGCTTCTTTTTCGGACCACTGCCTTGTAAAGATCCGTTTTGGAACAGACGCACCGCGAAAGGCACAACCAAATTGGGCTTTATGGAAACTAAATACAAGACTGCTAGACAACCAAGACTTTCTGAAACGTGTCCGCGAATGTTTTAATCACGTGTCAACGAATCAGCAATTTGGCATATTTGCTCAGTGGGACTCCTTCAAACAGGAAGTTAAGAATGAAGCAATCGAATGCGCGTGCATTGCATCCTTTCATGCAAAGAAGGAAGAAGCTACACTTTTGAAAAATCTGTATATGCTTCACGAGTTGGAGGGCGAAACACCTGGTATGTTCCAAGAAGACATTCTTCGCGTAAAATGTCAGCTACAGCAATACGAGCACATTCGTTTACACGGTGCACTAGTACGGTCCCGGTGTAGGCGTTTCTTGTCCTCAGAGAAACCCTCGCGTCATGCACTCGATGATGAGAGGCGTAACGGCCTTTCAAAGAAAATTAGAGTTTTAGAATGTAATGGGACACTCTCAGACAACGAAGAAGTCATCATGAAGGCATTTGAGTTGCATTACAAAAGTCTCTTTGGAAAAACGCAACATTTAGACATCCAGTTGGCAAAAAACTTAGTTTCTTTAATGCCCGAGGTAAAGCAGCTTCAGCGAGATCTCCTCAGTGGACCAATAACATTGGAAGAAGTTCGATGCGCGGTAGACGAGTTGCCAAATTCTAAAACACCAGGACCTGATGGGCTCCCTGCAGAGTTTTACAAGGCATACAAGACCTGCTATGCCCTTTTCTACTTGAGGTGTTTTGGAGGCGTATGAGATGGGAACTTTACCGCCGTCATTTTATGAGAGCCATACCGTGTTGATCCCTAAAAGTCAAGACCCAGACAAATTACAGCGCATTGAAGGCTATCGACCAATTAGTTTATGCAACGTAGATTACAAAATTTTTGCTAAAATTTTAACAAAACGATTACAGTGTGTAACGTCATCTGTTGTTGGAGACCACCAAACCTGTGGGATTAGAGGGAGACGTATACAAACTAACATCCACGTTGCGCGTTCAGTGATAGAACGCTGCGTTCTTCATGCCGGTCAGGTCGCCATGGTTCAAGTAGACTTGGCTAAGGCATTTGATCTCGTGTCCCATACTTTCCTTTTTGCTATTTTACGTCATGTAAACCCAGGACCAACACTTTTAAAAGGTGTTAAGTTATGCTACCGTAACTGTGCCACCAGGCTTATAGTTAACGGTTCACTCTCAAATCGAATTAGTCTTGAATCGTCCGTCAAACAAGGATGTCCGCTATCACCGCTTTTATTTTCGCTTTATTTAGAACCCCTCTGTTTAAGTGTACTTAACAGCCCTGTCGTGGAGGGTTTCCGTCTCTACTCTTCCGAAGTTAAAGTATTGGCATATGCAGACGATATAGCTTTCTTTTGTGCCGATAAACGCAGCGTCGACAATGTCCTTACAATAACACAAAACTTCTGTGACGCAACCGGCGCACTCGTTAATAAGGAGAAAAGCGTAGGTTTCTGGTGCGGGCAATGGGCCACAACACCTTCAGAGTATGCTGAAATATCGTGGAGCTGCATTGCCCCTCAGTACTTAGGAGTTCCACTTAACAGTATCCGTAACAATGGTCATTACTGGACTGAACGGGTGTCAAAGATCAAATGTCAAGCTGACAAGATGAAATCCAACCAGTGGTCAGTTTTCGGGCGAGCTAAGGCCTGTAATATGTTTCTCGCCGCCAAACTTTGGTATATACTTCATGTGATTTGCTGTACCAGAAGCCATATTCAAAAATTTCACAGAGTGTTTGCTACTTTTATATGGAGTTCCAATTGGGAACCTACAAGACGTGATAACCTCTTTCGCCCCATCGATGTCGGCGGTCTCGGACTCATACACATCTTTTTAAAGCAAGTAATATCTCGATTTTTATTCTTCAGAACTGCATCTCATCATTTCCTTCGCACTTACTTACAGACGGAACTCGCGAGTGCATTACCTTATTTGGTGGTTACGACGATACCCGCAAGCACATCACGTCCTGTGGGGTACCTCAAAGAAGTAGTGAGCGCGATTGAGTTTCTAACAGCTCGTTTTTCTTTGGAGCATTTATTTACGGTTTCACGCAAAGTCTTATATGCTGATCTGATTGACATAACGTTCCCTGAACCTTTGTACCGAAGCATATATAGTGAAGGCCCTGGAAAAGATGTCCTTAGACGTGTCCGAAAACTACATGTCTCGCCTACAGCAAAGTCATTCTTCTTTAAGCTCCATACTTCTACGTTACCTGTAAAACCCTGGCTTCGTGAACGTGGAATTTTTGTGCCGTGGTCAATCAATTGCCGCCTTTGTAACCAACCGGAAACTATAGAGCATTGTTTTATTTTCTGCACCGACGCTTACCTTTTCTGGGATGTCCTACAAAGGACACTGAAAAAAGACTTGAATATCAATGCCTACACAATCCGTTTTTTGCCCTTCAAATTGAATGATAGTTTTCCTTACGATCTGTTTACATTAATGGGGTTGCATAGCCTCTGGAAAACAAGAATGATTGACAGGAATGCGGACCCTCCCCGATCTACCAAATCAAATTTTATTGAAACCGTAACGCATGTACGAAATGTATTTAACTACCTTGACGAGCGGCCAGATTGGTATGTTCTTTTTGATCGATGCATTCATCTACCTGACTTTTAGCACGTGCATTTTGTATTTATTTAATATTCCTTTCCGTTCCTTCTGTCTGCGCACGACCCTGAGTCTATGAGAGTTCAAGATAGAGAATTATATGTAATGGGAATGGGGATGTGATAACCATGCCATGTTTTGTCTTCTGTTGTCTTAGTAATATTTCCATGTAATAAATAAAAAAAAAAAAGAAAAGTTAGCGCAGAGGTAGAACGTCGCGCTACTGACAAAGTAATCAAAGGTTCGATCCCTGGAAGGAGCGGTGCTTTTTTTTTTCGTTGTCTTTTTTTTTTATTAATATTATTTACCAAAACAAACATAAACAGACCCAGACCTATGGAAGGAAAATTAAAGTCCTTATTATCCACAGACGCCAAGGAAAATTATACAAATATCATTTCTACAAGCTTCATCAGCACGCTGTTTGATAAAGAAGATTTGTGCACCCAGGTTGGATCTAAGTTGTTTACGCAGGGGCCAAGACGACGAGGTCGGTCGTTCAGTCGTTTCTTTTGCCGTGGCGTTTTTGACATTAATAAAGGAAGAAGTTTAAACACATCCGTCATAAGCCGCTAAGCTTCGAAACGATGCCGACACTGTTACTTACACTGGGCGGCTGCGATCAGCTGCGATGGCGGCGGGCTTCGGCCACTTTGGCCACATATCGTAACTCGGCTGCCTCGGCCGCCTTGACTGCCGGGCCCTGACCCTGGCTGCGACCACTGCAACCAACGGTGCAAAGACTACAACGCTTTGACGCTACGAGGACTGCAGCGAGTTGTGGCCCTTTGAGGTTCCTCGTTCTCGCGACCGCTGTGCAGCGACTGTGATCTGTGGTTTATCTGTGCGTCTTCTGTGCAACGTTCGGTGTTGTCAATCCTTACCGTTTGCCAACCGACCATCTCCTTAATTCTGTGTTTCCGGAGCTGCAGATGGCAGTGCTGCTGTTGCGAACGAAGGCGCGAACAATCGCCGACGTCCCATGTGTGCAAGGGCGCCCGGAGGTGTTGGTGCAAGGAGGGGTGTGTGGAAGTTGCAGCGTTTTACTTCTGGAAAAGACGCAAAAAAACGAGAGGGTTTTCCTTTCTACTCTGGCCCCTCTCCTCCCTCTGGGAATATTTCTGTGGGCGCTCATGCCTGTGTGTCGTGGTATCCGGCCAACTTGTTGAAAGCCAGTTGGTAAAAGGACATTTTGTCGATAGACAATTTGTAAAATAAGTCACTCCGTCATAGGCCAATTTGCAAATCCCAACTTCTCGAAGACCAGTTTGTTTAGTCACCCTGGCGCCAGCGGCCTGAAACGCGTAAAAAACACTCAGTGGTCAGCGCAAGCTAGCAACACAAGCTAGCAGTCGCTTCCAAAAGCACCAAGACATGCAAAATGTTTGCAGCATTTTGCAGCACCAGTGAAGAGAAGATAAATGCCTGTGGGATATACCACCAATGGAAATACATCACCCTTCGAAGCTATTTTTTCTTAAAAAAGTTTTTAATGCTTAGGCCTTGTTTAAAAAGGAATAGTACAACAGGCTGTTCATAGTTAAAACTGATATTTCATACTTATGCTTAATTCAAATTTCAAGGTTCTGCCTGTCCCATTGTTTTAATTTATT